GTCGCTTAAAGAAGGCTCTTCTTCCGAGAAGAGACGTTATATCAGGAATAGCGTGAGAGGCCCTAGCTTCCTCTTCCTTGAAGAATACAATCCAGAAGGTTGTGAGGGTTGGAACCCATGATGGAGGCTCGGGCCATGCCCTCGCTAAGCACTGACCAAAGTCCCCGCTTAGCACTGGCCATTACCCCACCGCCAAACAGNTCGCTAAGCACTGACCAAAGTCCCCGCTTAGCACTGGCCATTACCCCACCGCCAAACAGGTTTCCACCATTCCACACTTTCTTGTTTTGTTCTTCTGACATCATGTATTCGTCATTCAAGTTTCTTGCAAGTTTCTTGGAATATTCAGGAAGCTCTTCCTCTCTCTATATATAGAGGAAGAGCTCGCATGTATGTAGTCTTCACGCACTTCTTAATTCAATATTCGAAACCACACCTTTGAGCTGTTCAAGGTCTGGCCTCTCACAGAGGTGAAGAATAGTCCGTTATAAAGAGAGCTAGTAGCCATGTCAACCTTAGTTGGCACTACTCCAATTCGCTCTCCTATTGCTGTAGCTACTACTCTTGCTGTAGTTGGGGAGAGAGTCGATATAATCGCCCCCTTTTCATCAATTTCGACAGTTTCGACACTTCGAGGGACCCCTGATAAGCGAAATACTGCTCAGTCTTGCGAGGTCTCTATTCTAGCCGCATGGAAAAGGGTTTGGATAAAGGCCTTCTTTGTTGACAGAAGGGTGTCCAGAGCTTCTTTACTCTTAGCTACAATAGCAAACCCAGAGTTAACCGAAAGTACTTCTTGTACAAGCTCTTTACAGCCAATTTTTGGGTCGCAGAGTGCAAGGTAGATGGCTAGGGCAGAGTGTTTCCTTTCAAGAGAGTCTAGAGGAAGTCGAATAAATACCCTAAGATCGGGTTTGGCTAGGGGGCCTTTGTTCTTCTGTGACTTTAAAGTAACAGTAGGAGGGGGTGGTGTTGTTGCTGCTGTGGTTGTGCCTAGATTCTCAGGCACTAAGGCACTCTTTATGGTCTGTGCGTATGAAATTTTTTCCACAGGAGCCAGAGAGGGGGTTGAGATCGTAGGAGACATAGGGCCATCTCTGCCCCTTTGGGAGGCTCCAAGAGCGGACGGTAGTGGAGGCGGGGTCCCTGAGGTGTATGTTCGGTGGAAAGCTAAGCTAAGGTCGGCCACCTGAGTGCAAAAGGCCCTGAGGTAGGGCAAGAGTTCCGGGGGAGCCCTATCAAGAGCAGTGTTTAGGTGGTGGTCAACGGCTTCCGCGGTACCTCCAAAGAAGATTTGGCCTATAGCACCACGTTCTAGAGCTTTGGTGGTTCCAGAAACGAAGTGCTGCTGTATATTGGGTAGTGGGGGCATCGGGCGTACTCCCTCCTTTTTCAGGCCCCTTCCAATGGGCGTGGGCGAAATCGGAGGTTTCCCTGGAGGAGTCTCCATGGAGGGAATTTTAGCTTGTCAAACGAGAGTAAGAGAGATTGAGCGTTTTAGAACAAAATTTTCAATCTACGAAAAAGGTTGTGTGAGCTTGTAACTTTACAATTTCAGTTCTGCAAAATTTGCTTCCATTGGTTTAGCTTGTTTGGGTTGGGTTAGTTAGGTTGGGTTGTGGAAATCCCTTTCCAAAGTTTACTAACATACTAGTGGCTGTTTTTCTCTCTGGTTTGAAACTATATCTGCAAGATTTAAAATTCACTAGCGTCAAAGACTTCGAAGGACCTAAGGGTCAATGAATTATGAAGCTGACTCCAACGTGACAGCTGGATTCCCTTCAAGTAAGTGGTAAGTAACAACAAAAGACTTGTTTCCGATATATTGGTTACGTCGACATATTATAATCAAAGTCGAATTAAAGATGCCTTCTCACTTCAAATATGGCCCGAAGAATACGATTCGCACCTACAAAATATTCGGCAATCGGGAAGATTTAGAGGCATCAACCGGATGTTGCAAAAGTTTGGGCTTGATATAATTATCGGATCAGCAGATAGCCAATTAACAAAGATCGCTGCTGCTGCAGGTAGGAGATTGTCTGCTTATGAATGGTATTACTGTTGGTGGCTGATCCTTGTATGTTATCCAGTGTTTTCTCTCCAACTCGGCTATCTTGACTACAATGGACGAGCTTTTGAAATGCTTGCAATTGAAAGTGCGAACCAAGAAGCGGGACTGATCGAAGTCACAAGCGCATGGGATGCAACGTCGAATCCTGTGAAGCCCCCGCCCTTGGGCGAAGCCTTAAAGAAAAGTGCTCGAAGCTTGGTGGTATTTACTTAGTATTGATTCCAGGGCTAGGAAACGACGATTTTGGCTAGTTCCCGTATCGCTGCATCTGGGCCAATTTGGGTTCTGGTGGTTCTCAGTAGATCGGCAACGTTTTCAAAAGTTGAATCAATTTTATGGAGATTGGAGCCTGTACCTTGGCCTACTATGGATTCTATCAGGTTCAAGAGTTGGCCAATTGAATTTCTAGACCCAATGCACTAATATTTATTTCGACGATATAATTTACTAATGGTGTGGGATCCAACCCGTTGACTTGTAGGTGTGTACATCCCAGTATGCTGTTATCGCTTTGTGCACTTATCATAGCACATGGGATTAACAGGGATCTCAATCCACTTGGGTTACTAGCTGATTTGTTATTAGTAGAAATGAAGGAGGGCAATTAGAATGTAAGTCTGGAATATAGTCTGTCTCTCAAACCCAGCGACAAGGGCTTCTCCAGAAGAGTACAATCAAATCATCAGCCGGCAATATTTACATTACAGCAAAAACTCGGTAGGGAGTCAGTCGAGTTGACTCAACCTAATCAGATTCATCAACTCGTTGTCCAGCTTTGGAAGACTACACGGGCCTAGTGTTCAGAGCAAGCTATAACAAAACCAATATATTTTTTGATTTCAAAGCTCCAAGAAAAATACAAATACATGGTGTTGTTTGGCACTGAAAAAATATAGCAAGTAAGTGAAATATTCATATAGGTACGCAAAGAAAGAGAATCACCCACTTAACTTAGTAGTTTCAAAGGAGCTAGGGGTCTCGTAGCATAAGAGATGAAATCACACTAATGCTCACAAGGTTCGGCATTTGAGATTCCATTCCATTCCAAGACCCTCCTATGGAATCTTCCGTTCCAAATAGTATAATTGTTGAAATATTCCATTCCAAAGGGTGGAATATTTGGAATTCCAATTGGAATTAACACGTGACCTGTAAAATAGTAGTTCCGGTCCGAGCGACTAATATGAAGCCTAGGTTTAGCCTTAGTATTACTATTTGTCACGTAGCGTACTAGGTCAAACAATATATAGAGCAAGTACGTGTATTACTACTAAGATATACTGAGAGCACGTGCTTTTACTAAGAGTGAATACTAATTAATTGTGTACTATTAATAATATCGCCCCTATATAAGGATATATTAAAAGAATTAAAAGAAAAGGAGATTCAGGCTTTGGAGTTATACGTAGGAGACGTTATAATCACACTTTATAGCAAATAGAGCTCTCTTATTAGTTGTAATATATAACGTGGTTTATCAGCGAGTCGATCATATCACCGAGTCGATCACTTTTTCTTGGCACAGAACTTTACACCTAAATAAATCAACCACAATATATTAAATTAATTATCGCTCTCTATATCTGACGAACTAGATATATCTATAACTTCTTGACAAGTTCGCGCGTTATGACCAGCTTTTCCACAAGTTCTACAGCGCCGCCTAGAAGGTTGCCCCTCCTTATAACCAACCCCCGCCTCACGCATGTCGCGTCGTACTTGCTCATCTACATCCTCCTGAGCTAACATATCCTGTACATCCTCTACTATAAGTGCCCCTCCTTGGCGGACACGAGTCTTTTTAGCCCTACGGCGTTTACTTAGGGCTTCATTTGCAGCGCGAAGGGTACGGACCTCAGCAGACAAAAGGGTCATCTCATGTGCCATTCGCTCTGTACCCTTTGCTAACGCAGCAACTGTTTGAAAAAGTGGAGTTGGCGAGCTTCCTTGATGACAGGCTATACGATTTCGTACAAGAGTTGATTGTGAAAGGGCTTCAGTTGGGTTGGAAGGGGTCTGGGACACCCAGGGGAGGGAGTTGGCACTACACGTCCGAGGGGGAGTTGGAGTCCGTAACCTTACGTCAAGCTTTGAAAGCACTGCTTGCGGGTTAAATGGTACTAGGCCAGCTCCGCGGAATCCAGACTGACAGTTTAGGACTGTCATTGTTTCCTTGTATGCTGCTGTAAAGGCTAGAAAGAACTCAACCTTTGTAATATGGTTGATATGGGCCTTGATAAACGTCTCAATCTGCCGACCATACGCTCGTTTTAACACACTATAGCACCCAACATCAAGTGGCTGGGTTAGATGGGATGAATGAGGAGGTAGTCCAAGAGTAATAATGTTGTGTTTCGTACAGTAGTCTTGGAACTCAGCCGATTCATGACTCTCGTGCCCATCCAAAACTAGTATTCGATACAGACCCTTTGCACGAGCTGTAGTGTGTTTATCAAAGTGCTTTAACCATTCCAGGCCTGTTTCATTATTTGTCCAACCATTGCTTGTCGGTTTCATAACCCAGTTAGGTGGGAGGCCGCCGTCGGTATACCAGTTGGAGAGATGGTTCTTGCCCTGAACTACCAAGAATGGAGGAATACTCCAGCCCTCCCCATTAATACAGGCAATTGCTGTAGCCCATTCCCGATTGCCTGGCTGAACTGCCTTGCCTCTACCACGTCGGTCTGCACGAGTAACAACCATTCTAGGACAAATAACACCCATCATAAAGCCTGTCTCGTCGAAGTTGTAGAAGTCGGAGTCTGTAACCCCATATTTCGCCCTCATATTCTCTACTAGCCGGAACCATGCGCCTAGCACGTCAGGATCTTCGCATAAGGCCCTCTGGAAGTCGTAAACGCGATTAAAACGCGTCTTAAGGTCTGGTTGTCGTTGTACGAATCGATGGGCCCAGAGCTTGCCGACGCGTCTTCCCCCCCGCGATTCAAGGATAAAATTAGCCATATCTTCTACACCAGCGAGCCGGGGCGCAAATCCTCTGGAATCCATATCCAGTATATACCGAATAATCACTTCCTCTTCTAACTCAGTCAACTTATGACAATTGGCTTGAGAATCTGGGCGGTAGGTTCGGCCAGCCATTCTGTCGGAAAGAGTCGTATATGGTACATTGTAGATCTTTGCCGCAGAGCGTTTGCTTAGTTTTTTGGACGACCGAATAGCCTCGATAGCTAGAGTAATTCGCGCTTCTTGAGTTTGAATTTCCATGGTAAATAGTTGAAGAAAACGTGTGTTGAAGTTTGAGGAGGTAGTGCCAAGGAAAAGTGATCGACTCGGTGATATGATCGACTCGCTGATAAACCACGTTAATTCTTAAATCGCTATTACTTATACTTACCTAATATAGGACTCGGCTAGGTCTAAGTAAGTAGACTCGCTATTTAAAGTATGTTATTATCTTAGCCTTTAGACCCTCTTTATAAAGGCTTTATATAGTAGCCTCCTACTCCCTCTGAGTGGCCCGCTCGCTCCCGCCCCGGCCCGTCTCCCCGGACCGCCCGGGGGTTTTTCATGTAGATCAAGGACGTGCACGGCTTTTTTGGTGTAAATTTTGGGTGCGAAAAATAACGGGGTCCAGCTTGATCTACATGAAAAAACCCCCGGGCGGTCCAGAAGATAACGCCACCAACCACCACGACCAGCCTTTACTCGTATTTGAGGGCTGTTTTGGGGGCTGTCTTGGGGTGGTAGGGTGTAATTGGCTGGAGGTCGTCGGAGTAGGGCGGAGCCTGGTCGTGTTTTGGGGGAGCGGGTGGAAAACCGGCCATGTAACTAACTAGCGGCTAAGGGCTGAGATATGTAGGTATATTCGAGATTCTTAAGCGTACTATGAAGACTCGGGCTAGACTATTCTATACTACTCGAATAAACTAAAAGTTAATTAAGTAGCTAGTAGGTTAAGTTAAGTAAGTTTTACTACTTAACTTAACTACTCGAATTTTAAACGCTAAATCTATTAAAGAGCTAATTACTATAAACCTTCTATTAGTATTTTATTATATCTAAAACCCTGTCCTAGTAAGTCTATAGTTTGATTCTTTCTATTAAATATCTATAGTCGATAGAATAGGGGTAAGATACTGTGTGTGTGTGTGTGTGTGTCTATTTAACGTCTAGGCGGGCACGTACGCAAGTCACGTGCCCTTCAGTCCCCGTTGGGGCAAAAGACGCCAGGGGGGGAGGCCCCTGGCTTCCTGTCTAGCTAGCTAGATTATATAAGACTTTAAAGGCTGTAGCGGGGTTTACATGTACGCTTTAGCTGTTGTTTTGTCCGCTTGAGGAAGTAAAACAGTAGTGCTGCCACCTCTTTGCAGCATGATCCTCCAGCCTGTGATCCTAGCCCCTGTTCGCCGCTGCCTCCGCCTCTGATAATGGAATAAAGTAAATGAGAGAATAGTAAAGAGAAGAGTAAAAGGA